CGAAAGATACTGTCCAGATAGGACGACCTTTAATTTTTTCTAAATGTGCGAAACCAGTTTACTGTGTCACAAATTGACTGAGATATGGTCACATGAACACTGCCTCTTTACCCATCAAATAGCTGTAATTTGGTTTCTGCCCATACCTTTATGATACAAGCCAAAATTCTAAAAATAGATTTTTCTGAGGTCACACTCAAGTCTCTAGATCTCCATGTGATGATTTCATGAATGGCATAGTTGTCCATGCTACAAAACAAACAAAATTCACGGTCTCTAAACTCATTCAGTCGCTCAACAGGGTATTCAAGTAGTTTGAGTAATTTGAAAAAGCACCGCAGCAGGTCGAATTCATCTTATAGTTGTCGGCTTTTCTGTTCTATTCTTGTTTGTAAAGCGGCAGGGGAATGGTAAGGTGTGACGTCATAATGTTTTGGTATTTGTAGTAACAGTTTGTTGGAGTTTTGGTCACGGGCGCCCGAGGCATGTATTTGTAGGTGGTTCTTGAAGCATCAGTTTAACTTTCAAAGTTATCATCATCCTTGTGGTGATGATCGCCATTTTCAACGATCGTCATCATGAATCATCTTTATCACAATGATGATGATAATCAAAGACTTTATGATCACCATAGACCATCGTCAATCACCATAAATCATTCAATCATTATAATCATCAATCATCACAGTAATGAGTATAGATATCTTTTTGTAGTTAATCAAAATCATTGATGACCATAATCAATCATCAACCATCACCAATCATTATGATCACTATCAATCACTGTAATCACCAATCATCTCTGTAGCTAGTAGAAATCTCTTATCATAATCAATCATAATCATTGATCACCATCATCAATCATCAATCACAACCAATCATCATGATCACTTTCAATCATTGTAATCACCAATCAGCATGGTAGTAAGTAGTGATCGCCTATCATAATCACCATGATCAACCAAATTCAACCTTCATCATCTATCATTTTCAGCATGTTCCAACTAAGATGGTTAGCTTCTCCTTATCGTCATGTTTCGTTTCTCTTTCGTTCCTTCCCTTTCTACTCATTTTCAAGAACAAAAAAACACTTTCTAAAAGGCAAGCAACGTGGGCGAAGTTAAACAGAATCAAAGGCCTTTTATCACAGTGATCTAAAAAGATACTAAGTTCTATTCAATTTGAGTTGGCATTGAGCTGTATCCAAGGACATAACTGCATGGACAAAAGAAGATTCTATCGTGACTGGTCGCTATTAATAGACGAGTTTGTTACCCATTTCTATATCCATTAATTCTCTTTAATGAAAGGAAAATTACAAGTTAGTTCGTAACGTTCATTTAAAAATCGCGAACTCCTATAAAATCGAGCATACCCACCAGCCGTGATCCGCAGCAGTTGTAAAATTGTTACGGTTTCATACCAGGTCAAAAGCACCCGCATTGTTTTCGAAAGCGGGTACCCTCCTTGCAAGGTCTTTGAGTGAGCCGTATCAATGAACACAAATCTTCTTACTACACACATTCACGTGGGTGATTCTCTACGATCAGCGGTGCACGAGGAAGTTGTATCAATATGACTGTGTAATGGCTTCGTTTTTTTGGTTTCTTGGAATTTGATCTAAAGATGAAGAAACTTCGTGGATTTTTGAAATCGCCCAAGTTTAGTCCGGTAAATTTTCATCATATTTTTTAATATATAATGGAAAAATTCATTGGCTGGAAATGATGACATTTGAGAACGAATTCGAGATTGAAGTCTAAATTTTTGTTTCTTTTATCAAAACATTGTTTAATTCTATCGAAAATTCCTTAGGAAGTTAGTAAAATTCTCAAGCTGCATTTTACTTCTAGAAATTGGAGAAGATGCATTAGAGAAATAGATATGTTGTTTTTGAACATGTGTACATCTTTCTGTGCGATTTATGTTCTTAAACCTCGCCCCCATTACTTTCTTGGGGTCTCTGAAGCCCTGGTACCCCCAAAGGGGCTAATTACTGCGGCATGAGGGCTAAAATTTGATATAATACAAGAGAGTTTTCATATCAAAGACCTGCTTTGCTCGGTCTAGATTCTGATAGACGCAGTTCATGACCAGGCGGGGTCTCGTTCTCTAATTAGGGGATTTTCTGGCATTAAGAACAGCCACCTCGGTCTTGCAGCTCTAAAAGTACAACTAAAACCTGCGATTCTGCTATCGGGCAGCATTTTCTGGAAAACCCAGATTGAGCAAAAAACAAAATACTTCCATAATACCAACCCTGGTTAGGTAAATGTTACTGCTGAACATAACCAATGCGAGCCTTCAAGCTATCATAAATTGTTCCTGTTTGAAATTAGTACCTTAAAAAATTTATTCCATTCCCAACCCTTTAGTTTAGATGTTCAAAAAACTGAGAGGAAAAAAGCCCGTCATATTCGTTGTTGATCGTTGTTTGGAAATCTTTGAAATATTTTTGTATTTTTAAGAGTCGATCGTTTACGTCAGCTGTTGCCGGTTGCTTGATTATTCCGGTAATTAAATTTGGCCTGTGAATTATACGGCATGAGAAAATAATTGCAGTTTGAGTTACTAAACGTGAGAACGTGATTGACACCAGGATCTCATCACGCGTGTAAATCGCGGAATATTGTATCTGGAATAGCAAGTGAAGGACTTCGGATCGAAGGACTGCGGTTCTCAGGACTGCGGATTGAAGCCGTATTAATTTTGTTTTGTTCAGATGATGTTGAAATAAACATTTTCTTTTTGGCTTTCGTCCAGAGTATGGAATACTTAAACTAGAAAAAGCCGAGCTTTGTTGGTACATTTGGATGGAAGAATAATTTTTTCTATTTTCCGAATTTTCCGAATCTTCTGCTTTTATGCTTTTTCAGATATTCATAGAATCGCCGTTTCGATGATATTTGAATGTTATGTTTTTGGGCCATTTCAACCCAAAAAGTCCGATTTGAACTTCACACTATATGACAGCCTTTTGAAGATATGACAGCCTGTTCGTGAATCATTATTCCTTCAGCATTTTTATGCACAAAATATGCTTCGACGGTATTCTTGTGTATTTATTCATATAAAAGGCATGACCAAACCCAAAAATTCCTTTTATAATCAAACTCTTTGTTCCGCTAGTCTGTATTCCGGCTTTTACACCGTGTTGTTCCGCAAGTATATCTATTGCTCCATTTATATTCACATACCCGCTATGTTATTTAGATGTCCCTATTCACCTTTGATTACCTTCAATTTATCAATATTCACACAAAATCGAATAGATTCAAGGTTATTTTCCACAAGCTAATAAATATTTAATTGGTAGACATTTCTTTCGAGTACACCCAATTGATTCAGCAAGCTCCGCTCTTTTTCACACAGAATATCGAAACTCGTGTTTTCAGCATAGCGAAGTCTCTAAACGTGGGCCTAAGTTGTATTAATCGTGTATTTTGTCGCAAGCTGCATGGCGCTAAAGCACGGAATGCTTTTATCGTTTGTTACTGGATGTTGGTTAATCAATTAATCGCCTGCAACGATGTTTGTGTAAACTTTTAATCGCAAGAATGTTGTGGAATCGTTTTGGGCGCCATAACCGTCGCAGGCGCTCCAGTCCTACAGATGAAAATGTTAATGTCAAAGACACATGCAATAACAAGGTATATTGAATTGTATTAACCACAGTTTGTGTTGTTTATTCGTTTGTTTTGAGTTTGTCAGAAAAAGTTTTTTAACTATCTATCATAGTCTTTTCAAGCTATTGTCAAGAAGTTGTAAACATAAGTAATATTTGAATCGCTAGGATGGTAGATAGAAGTCATTAGAATCACATACTTAAAGATGACAGTAGCCGAGGGGCAACTCACTGTTGCAAGTAGCTTACGAGATTTCCATGAAGGCAAAAAGATTTCCAGGGATTTTCGAATTAAGGATTCCCACCAAAATGCACGAGAATTTCATGGAGTGATTTGCCCCTTGTCAGGAACTGCGTAACTTAACAGAGAATGACGAGAGGGGGAGGGGTGACTGGGTGTCTAGAACTGATCCAGTACCCTAAGGCTCATGGGAAAACATTCTGTGGTTATTCAAATGTAATTCATGGGGATCATTTGAAGCCGAGACAATTTCTTTTCTGTTTTGTACACTGAGTCCTTTACTGTTATAAGCGATACAGGGATCGCTTTTTTTGCATGTGTAGTATTTATTATACAAGGAAAAAACTATTTAAGAACATCGAAGTTCGATTTAGCAAACTCAAAGTCAACGTAAAAGTATGCCCAGTCTCAGACGAAAAATTAGTAGAAAAACAATGTGTTTTAAGCTGTTCTTTGATCTTATTTATTACTACTTGCGTCGAAGAAAGTTATCTGCTTCCTATATAAAAATGAGTTGATGTAAGGAGCTCTTCGCAAAATCATTGCCTGTTCAGATTTCGTTTGTGTTCTCATATGGCCATCGTTTTCTTTGGACTTTCAAAGGAATTCGAGTTTCAGGGTTCAAAAATGATAGGTGCAGAGAGTAATGATTTTGCATCAATTTCAAATTGGTGAATAATGTAACGTCCAGGACGAACAAAGTTGCACTGCATTTTCTTGTTTTCTTCTTTGATTTTTTGTGTACGAAGAATTGATTACATTATGTTTATATAATTTTTCCTGTTCATTTAGAAGACAGGAGTTACGGTGTTTTTATTTAGTTCATCCTTTTTTGTATATTTAATTGTAATTAATGCACAATTCCACAACACATATATTCAACCAACACTTCTCTGTGCAATCCAACGGAACGTTCTCTTTTTTATCAATAACTCCGTGGGGTATGAAGGCCGGGTAAAGACCGAAAGGTGAGCTGAAGTGATCACCCCAGATACAGATCGAAAGTGGCAGAAAAATAGTGCGCTGATTGGCTCCTTGCTTTTGACCAATCATCAATCGCTAATCCCTTACGTAGCCAAAGAGTTTCTGTTTGTAGAATATCTTGAATTGATCTCGCTTTGTTTCTTTCCTTAGTTACACTTAGCTGTACTGACGCAGTTAAAGAATGAGATATTCGAAAGCAATACGAGGCTCAATCACGTGACCGCCGAAAGAGATGGCCTTAAGAGCAAATTGAATCAGCTTTCGGCCGAGAAGCAAAGAATGCAGAAGGAATATCAAGAGCGCCTCCAATCTCAGGTATGTGCAGTACCTCGTTTCTTTCTGCTTTAGACTGTTGCACAGATCCAACTACTGCCCTGCTAAATACTTGACACAATTGACACCGAAAATCAAACAATCATGTCAACGTTGTTATTCTGAAAACTGCGTTTTTCTAATCCTGTCATCGTAAACTTTAGGCAATAGGTTGGCCTGTCTCTATCGTAGCCAGAGTCATAGACCTCGGTCCCTCCCTTTTTCTCTAAAGGATTCACATGATCTCAAAATGCCGTACGCGGGAAGTTTAAACCAGATGTCCATAATCCCGTTCTTTCTTGACTAATCGCATACATTCGAATAATCGCATACATCCGAATAAACTGCCATCTCTGAAACTAGTTTTTGATATAATCGCACGGTGCGCTTATTCGAGAAAATATGGTAGAAGATGCAAATTACCATCGATTTTTCGCGAATTGACTTCAAAATACCACAAAACGCTTTTCACGTCATCTAGCTATTGCACATAGGCAAATATTAGCCAATCACAAACGTTTGTCGTAAGACTCAAAACTCCTATTTTCAGTTTGTTTATTAATTGTCCAACTCCATGATGAATCGTCAAATTTTTGTTTTATTAATCTTCTTCACTCCCTTGTAGAAAAACAATTTTGACGCCACTATCAAAATGTCATTGCATCATGATAACATTGCCATAGTTACGTTATTGTTTCTATGGAAACAATGCCGTGTCTTGTAGAATCAACTTTGTTCATCAAAATAGCAAATATTTTTAACATACCGCTAATCTATATGAAAATTCTCAGCAAATAACACACGTTTTAAACAACTGTTTTATTGAAATATATAAGACTAGTGTGACGCCATCTTGATAGATTCCTAATCTTTGCTTTCCATGATTACTTTTAGCTTCAATTCTTTCGTGTTTCATGCTTGTGTTTTCTTAATAGACTACAACCATCCTTGTTTGAATTTCAAACATATCCAAGTCTAAGTTTATGATAGTTATTGGTTTTTTGATGTCATATTAATATGATGTCATCAAGAAGACAAAAAATGTGTAACTCGAACAGTTATGAATCTCCGTCTTTCGTTTATGACATGTTCACAGCTTTTTTGTTTATCAAAACACATTTGCAAAGAAGGGACAAATTTCTTTTAATTTCTGCCAAATCATTGAACCAAACTTTTCAAAACCTTGAAAAAATTATCGAATAAAGATATAGCTTGGGATTAATACTATTAGTTTGTCATCAATGATCGTCCTAGCATAAATAAGTTTTGTATTCAGGTCTTGTTCTCGAATTAGTGCTGTGTACTTTTAATCTCTCACCATGATCTCCTTTGATATTGTCAAGAATAATGTTTGGACTTGAGGAACTTCACAAAGGTTTCCCCATTTTGCGTTTTGTACGTGGGGGATGAAAGGTGGTGTCGAAGTAGTCTCCTCTGACCTCTGACCTTTTTTCTAGGGGTCATCGCAGTATATATGTATTTAAAAAGAAAATACTTGCATCTTGCAAGATTCAATGCTTTTGTTTTGAATTGAATCGAGGCCATGTGATGTAACCATTGTATCTAACCTCGTTTGCAGATGATGAGAGTTACAGAACTTCAAAGTGTGATTGCTGAGCTGACTAGAAAACTGAACGAGGCTACTGGAAACCGGATTATAGAAGAAGACGAAGAAATAGAGGAGTCTCAATGTTCATCTGATCTCGAGGCTGAAGAAGGTACGTCATATAATTGTCATCAAATTTTTGTTTGGCATTAGACACAAAGCTGAGGAGAAAGTTCGAGACTTGTCTTACGCATTTGATATCTCTGATTAACTCATCTGATATCGAATTCAGTCTCTGACATATGTTTGAAATTGTAAGGCTTCACATAAAATTTTGAGATATTTCTTTCACCCCCTGCTCAATATTGGTATCTCCAATTTTAGAGGACCTATCTCTCCTTTGAACAGGGGGTGTTGTGTGATCATATATGAATCTTGCTTAGACAATGATCTCAACCACTTTAGATATGAAATTATAGTTCTTGATGAACTCTGACCTGCAAGACCTCATATCATTACCTGCAGCCCTTTCATCTGAGAATTTGACCTACGTCCTTCATCCTACGTCTTTTAACCCCTACATATTAAGCCTCTTATGTTTGCATCAAATTTTCTTCTTTGTGGTTTATTTTAGTCATAATTCTGTTTTTTGATTTAGTCTTTTTGTCTAAAATGAAATTTTTAATCATTCTGGCGCTCGCATCTTATAATGCTTTAAACCTTTGACCTAACAAGTGACCTTTGTCTCCCTTATAAACCTCTTGCTAATATTTAGCCTTATTGTATCATGCATCCAATCTAATTAAGTCATCTGAAATCGAATTCGATCTCTGACTGTTTCATATCTTCTTACTTTAAGCCAATCGCATTAGCAATTTCTATGTTTTTATTAGTGATAGAATTAGGCCAGCATTGTCTTGTGTACATGTTAAATCTTCAACTTCCATGGAGATTTCTTGATACAGCTTTGAAGAAACTTCAACAAAATCATCTCGTCCAGCTGCACACAAACACACAACTAGTGATTGAACTTCTATCCTTTCTTGAATTCATTTCTCTCATTCTGTTTTCAATATCTTTGATAAATTTTAGTTTGTTCCAAATTATCTGATTCAACATTTACTAGCTTGCGTGCAGTTAACTCGGCTAACATTTAACAAGCAGTTGCTTTTATTTCTTCTTTGTAAATAAACTTCAACTTTCGACATCCCAACTTGTTCCCGTGGTCTTTAAAAAAATATCAGCTAGCCCTTTGGGGGTAAAACGACTGTTCTTAATAAAAAGAGCCAATATTGTGTTTTATCAAGCAAAAGTTATATTCCTTAGTCTGAAGCAATGATATAACCCTCTCCCCAGTACCTGCTTTTAGAAGTCCCTCTCTGCCATGATCATTAAAATATTCTACGTAGAATGTATTTTATTCTTAAAAAAGAACCGACAGGCTCTTCATTCAACGAACACTCCCGTCTTTTCAAATCTAAAGCTTTTATCATCTTGTTATTGCAAGACAATTTTCTACTTGAAGAAACCTTTAAGGCGGTGATTCTCATCTTAAACCGTCAGGAAAAGTTCATGTGAAACTGACCTCATAACGTTATAAATCTCAAATTGCGAAGGACTTTGTTGGAGCCCATGTCTGTGACGTAATTTTCAATAAACTAGGTTTCGTTACCCCGCAGTTATTTATGAATGCGAATGAGCTGTCTACTTCGCAGTGACTTTATGCAATACAGTTCTTTGTATTCGATTTTGGTGATAAAATATAGGTTTTCAAAACACTCTGATCGATTCAATATGGCGGCGTCACTATCAGCTTCGAAGCCATTGTTCCATTATCTCAAACCTGTCAGTCAGGATTTAACCAATCAAATCACGACCTCACTTGATTCCTTCCAATCATAAACCTATGCCTCGTGTATCACCCATGTGATACAGGGTGACAGTTCTTCAAATGCCCATCAATGGCGTATTTTGCCTTGAAACGAAAGAAACCTTGGCAAAGTTTCCATTGTTCTGTCTTTTGGTTCATTCAAATTGGATGTATTTTTGCTGCATAAATTGCTTGCTGGTTCAGGAACACAGTCATCCTATCTCAAATTAATTTGTAATAAGCACCATTTGATTACCTTAGTTTTTTTTAATCGAGTTATCCTTTCAATAGGCCTATGTTTATCCTGTTAGGCCCATACACCACCCTCTATACCTTTAATCCTATCTCAATGGCTTTCGCGACACAATGCTAAATTGTTTTTCATCTGACTAGCCACTGTGCAGCCGGGGGTAACTTGTGCGCTCCTCCGCATTTCAAGAACGGTCTAAAAAAGACAGTAAGCTGGAATATTGGAAAATAACAAAAACAATGCAATTCATCGACCAGTGAATTTATCTTTGTGAAACGGAAAGATACTAATCACCCCAGCTAACATTTCGCCCCTTTGGTCTTTTCGAACGAGGTCCTAGTTCCAAAGATTCCAATTCAGGATCAAGCCAAAATGGCTTAAAAGGGCCTGAGCTCTAATAGTGATGTCATGCCTCGATTGGATAGCCTTATTATAAGCAATTTCACTTTAGGCCAAAGTGAAATTTCGCCTTTTCTGCACTCCTTGTCGTTATTCAACCTGTTACATCCTTGCTTCCACCATTTGAAGTTTTGTTCCAGAAATTTTTATTTGGGTCTCTACTTGGTCAGTTAATTTGTTTTTGTTTTAATGTTATGATTGTTTCCCGCGGGATGTCCCGTTAGACTTCATTCTAAGTTCAGGATGGATTATGAAGCCTCTAGACAGAACAACGAGACCCCCGTATTTGCATCTTACAGTGTTCAGTAGACACAACTCCCTTTTAAGCTTCATCATTCGCCTTTGAATCCATGAAAATAGCCACCATCAGGGGGCATTGATATCATGTGAAACGCGAAGCTGAAATTGATACCGATGGAGTTAACGTGGTCGAAAATATGCCTGTGCAAATTTTTGTCAACGGAAAAAATGTCGTGTACATCGGGAGGAGAAATCGGGAAATGCTGAAAAGAATGTTCGCAGTACCCTATTCACCTTGGAGGTTGCGAAGGAGCTCGAATTGTAGCTATGGTTTGTTCCGATATGTTAGTTTTTAAACTTCGAAATTTTACTTTATTGGCGCCGTCAAGTTCTCAAAACTAACTTGCCAATTAGAAGTAGCGTTTCTCTCTCTCCCTTTCCCTGATGACTTCAGATCTGTTGAAGCTGGTGAACGACTTCAAATCTGTTTGTGAAGAACCAGAATCGTGAAAAGCAAAAACTCATTATTCAACGGGCTATTTGATAACCGTGTTCCCAAAATATTGAGAGATTTATCATCTAACTTTTTTGCTTTCGTAAGATATTATGGTCAGTATTGTATGATAACTTTATTTTTCGTTTCAATACAGTCAAACTTTTCAAGTACGGTTGCCTCTCTCTTGGTCCAAAGTTTATTTATCTTTTGTTCATTATAAGTATAGTTATTTCAATATTAGAGACAAAATTCATTGAAAACAATGTTATCAAGAACAGTTGCTTCTTGATCCAAAGTTTCTTTACTTTTTGTTTGTTATAACAATAGCTATTGCGGTAATTAAGGTAGAATTTCTGCTCCGAGCTAACGTTGGCATTTTTTGTCTTCATTTTTGGCAAAAATAGATCATAGAATTGGTTTCTTCTTGTTGAAATTAGTCTGTACCAACTTCGTTTTGAAGAAAGTCTTGGACATTCTGTGCGCGAATCATCCCGTTATCAAATTCAGCTTTTTATGTTCTGTTACTGGGATTTGCTGCTGCAGTGAAAGCATTTTGCTGCCACTTAGTGGCCGTTCGTTCATTATTTGTCATCTTTCATCTTTTTTGGTCGCCTTTCGTCGTTTTTTGTCGTCTTTCGTCGATTTAGTCACCTTTCATTATTTTTCTTCTTTTATCCGCCACTTTCGTGGGCTAGGGTGGAATTGCTACAAGTCTATTTCTCTATTTCTCTATTTCTCTATTTCTCTATTTATTTATTTATTCATTTATTTATTCATTTATTTATTTATTCGCTCTCTTTACTTATTTATTAATCTGAAAAACAAAGAAAGAAAAAAAGAAAATAGAGAGGGAAGGAAAAATATTTATTTTCAGATTCTCTCATTCCCTCTCCTTCTTTCCTTAATTTGTTTTTCAGGTTACTAATAGAGAGAGAGGAGAGACTATTAGCAAGTCCAGGGCTTGGTTGCCTTGATTGCTTGCCAGGGCTTTATATGCATGTTTCCTCCATATTATTTGATGCATCATCTAATCATATAAATCTTGCAGTTTTCTTTTGTTTTTCAACAATTGCTCATCCTTTATCCTCTTTGATGAATCACGTAACATTACTTTCTTCTAACTAGCCCCACCTTTTCTTGCCTGTTGTCTTCGTAATGAATTGTGGGTATGGCTTATTTTTATCCCCCCCCCAGACTTTCGTACAATAACCTTTAGTCTTGCCTGGTTTGTGAGACTACATGAAACCGAAAGTTTTATTATGTTTGAGTTTTGAGTTCAGTGTTTATTAGTTTGTGTCCAAATGAGCCTTGCTCGGAGAACTCTCAATTTTGACTTCCTCTGTAAAACTTTGTTTTGTTTTGCACGTGATGTTGGAATTTCGAAGATGCCCATTCCCCAGATCTTTCGATCAGAGATTCTTGATTAACCATCTCTAAAAAGTATGAAAATCTTACCAAGTCATGTTGAAGTCACTCGGCTCTAAGCTTGTTTAAACAAAGCCATTTTGTTCCTACCGTGGTTATTCAAATTTCCGTGTTCCAAGTTTCGTGTCGCAATTCATAAATAATTTAGAAAACGACATTCAAGGAACACGCAGCGTGATATCGTGTGCAGTTCAATAAATACCATTACGTCTTGATTGATGAATTATTCTGGAGTGAACATAGTTGGTTGTCCTATAGTGCATTGCAATGGTTTCATTGGATTTCGCAATGGTTTCAAAAGAGCATCTCAAAGGTTTCAAAGGGCATGTCTAAGGTTTCAAAGGACATCGCAATGGTTTCACGCGCAGCATAATGGTTTCAATCGGGAGACGCCTCTTGCAACATGTGCTATTTAGCGTGTGCATACGAATCGTGATATAGCCACCTGCATTGCAATGGTTTCATTTATTTGTTGAATATATTCATTTAGAT